AGGGACAATACCTGGTAAAATGCAGCATGGTGAACACCCTATGAAAATTATCAGTGCCTAATTCCTTTATTTTCTTCCACACAAAAACCTCTTTGTGAGAGCATGAAGAAAAATTCAAAATGAAGTAAAGAGGCAGTTGAGTTGGAGTCTTCAAGAAAAATCAAGTTGTGCTCTGGCTGGGAGGTGTGACTGTTTCACACCCAAAGTCTTAAAATCAAATTAAAAAAAAAAACGTTCGAACTTCTGACATTAACTTCAGACTACCGCCCCCCTTATTGCCCTCCTACCGCCCTCTTCTTCTTTACCGCCCCCAAAATCTTTTCACCGCCCCTAGGGGGGTGATAATGCCCACTTTGGGAATCACTGGGTTAGGTTAATTGCAATGAAGTTGCATTGATATGTTTTGAAAATATTTTATTATCATTAAATGTTTATGAGTAAATCCCAATAGCAGAACAATAAATATTTAGAGATTTCCAATAATTTTGGCCATTGTAGCGGCTAATGTAGCGCGCTACATTTTACTGTAGCAGTAGCGCTCGCTACAATCTAGTGGGTGTAGCGGTAGCGGTAGCGCCCGCTACATTTAGAGCATGTAGCGGTAGCGCCGCTACATTTCAAAGTAGCGCTGCCCAGCTCTGGTTCCAATTGATTCATTTATTGAAGAGACACTCATTTGAGGCCTAAAATAATTTGTCACCCCAACTTGAAAAACCTCCTTGGAGGAGGCCCCTGCTGACACAGTCAGCAATTGTCAGGCTCCTGCTAACACAGTCAGACTGTGTCAGCAAACCACGGCTGACACAGTCAGTAATTGTTGGAGCTCTAGCCTAATTCCTCTACTCCTTGCATGTAATAACCTAAATCTGTTAAAAATATCTTTCTCAAGTACGTATAAGAGAATATAGTTCTTCTAGACAAATGACCACTAACATGTGTTGGAACTAACCTAATATCAACTTATAATTTCCTCTTATACTGCCATTTTTTCAGTCCCTGGCCAACAGCAGCATTCTTAGTGGCCCCTTCTAGATAGATATTTCCATTGTCTGCCTCATGTATGGAATGCTGCTGATCCCAACCTTTCATCTTTCAGTACCCTAATTCCTTTGGAATCTTGCCACAGGAATTCCTTGTTTTGACATCTATTGATTACAAAAGTAAATCCTATTTTCTTACTGCAATGGCATTAAGGGACCAGCTACCCTCCGGAAAAACTTCTACAGTTATTATCCGATCATCATGAAACTTCACATACATACCTACGTAAAATGTAAAAAAATAACATTTTGCTTCATACTTTTACTTCAAATTCATAGAAAACGGGTACTTTAGAAAATCTATCTCCTCCTACAAATATCATCCTACAACATCGAGACACGTACCGTCAACCGGGGCTACTTGGGACAGATATGATCGTTTTTTTGTTAATAACTGTTGATAACTTCTTACTATGAAACATTTCATAAACAAATTTAGGCTCATTTTATAGCTCTTTGCGAGGGCTATCAAATGGCATTGTCAAAAAAATTCCATATGCTATTCGTAAGGTGCCAGACGCAAAATAAAGATTGTCCCGAGTAGCCCCGTCAGTCGGGGCTACTCGGGACAATGGGAATGAAACTTCATTTCAAAACATTTGAAGCATGCAGAGAGCATTAATCATCCATTACTAACAGTACTCTGAAGTCCTCCTCTTTCATTGTAGATGATGTAGAGGTAGAATAAATGACATTTTCTGTGATTTTTACTTGTTTTCCTTCTATTGATATGATCTTGCCATATACATTAATTACCGTATTATTGATGTGCAATTATCACATTATTGATGCAATATTACCATATCCGTGAACATGCCATTGAGCATTTACAACAACCTTGTCCACTGCAAGCTTCATATCAGCAGTCTTATAGCATTTTTTTCGTATCTGTAAGCTTACAGGACGGCTCGTAATTTCACATCATTTTAATTGGGTTAAGTGAATTTACTATAGTAAAAAAGATCGTGAAAAACATACCAGAGTCGTAACATAGCCTAGAAACTGTAACTAAGCCTCAAACCAAGTCAGCAAGGCATAGAGCGACAGCAGGCTGTATTTATAGTCCCGCCTTCCATTTACGCCCATAGCAATTAGTGAAGGCCCCCAAACACCGCCCCCCATGTACCTGCATCGTGTACGTAAAAAAGCATGTAGAAAGATGTTTCTGGTACCGTTCGACGTGTCAGAAAGTAAGCTTTAAGATGAGTATAAGCACCGGATAATGCCATAATTGGCCGCTTTACCTCAGTCGTTCCTTTTTAGTGTGTCCAGCCTTCGAATTAATCCCATAGACTTTACTGAAGGGGCCTCAAAACCGCCCCCGTTTGGGGAGCTGTCACGAAATCATTTTTCGACATAGAGAGATGATTCTGGTATCGTTCGATGCGTCAGAAAGTAAGCTTTAATATGAGCACAAAAACCAGAAAACGCCAAAATTGAAAATTTAGAGGTAGCCAGTCCCCTTAAGGAAGCTCCAGGATGGACCTATGCTTAGTATCAGGATACTCATGTGAGGCACAGTGTAGGGCATGTTCTGGTCGCAAACCTTGTGTAGTTGAAATACAGCAGAAACCTTACTGCATTGATGATGACTGAAGTGGTTTAATTAAATAAAGACAATAACATATTTTGTTTGGATGTTGTTATATTATTAGGTTAGGAGAATAGTCTCTTGTGTTGTCCTCACTAGTCTACCTCACATACTTGAATTGTATGGATGTGAAACTGTTTGAGTCAAACAGTTTAACATCTATACTGGTTTAGGTCATCTTAACATCATCAGCTATAAATTTGCTTGCAGACATTATCACAATGAGTGTCATTGTCAGTCTGTCACACAAATACTTGGTAAAATAGAATAAAATAGTAAATGTTGGTATGAAATTGTAAGAGACAGATTAGAAGAATCTGATGTTTAAGGTTGCAATAGTTGGGCCCATAGTGGCAAAGCAGAGAGTTCTTTAGACTCTCCTTCAAGTTCAATTTCAACTCCCTATAAGTAGACCAGTAAAGTATCATGGATACCACATCATACCAGCATTATCATAATTAAGTAATTGGTTTAAATCTGGAGTTATTGAGGAAATTAAAAATGAACTGATTCCAAAAAAGCTCTGGTTTGCCACTATGGTTGGGCCCAAGCAATCTTCACAACAGTGCTGGTTTATGTCCCAAGTCTGTTCATGAGGGCATTAGCAAACAGAGTTGAAAGTGTCACCATGTCAGGGTCACAAACCTATTTGGTGCCAGTTGGCATCAGTCAAATGTGCTTGACATTCTCTTTGCCAACTTGATGAATAACCTTGTTCCTTTAAGTTGTTGAATAGCCTTGTTCCTCTAATATTTGTCACTTATTTGTTTGAACAAAATTATCATTGTTAGCTGATAGTGTTTGAGAAAGTACCTTGCACTTAGATCAAACCTGATGAGTGATGAAGCATTGTTGTAATGAAGCCTGTGAGATACAGATTTTTCAAATCTGTATCTCACAATGTTCAGTTATAACCTCCTGGCCTGGCTATGAAGCCAGTGCCCAGTGCTTCACTAGTGGAATGCTATATAACAACTAAAATGAGATCTATTTCTTGCAGTCTATTAATCTGATTTATTGCTTTGACCCAGTACCATTAGTATCAGATTTTCAATCTTGCATAGTACTATGGAATATAGAATCTGCTAAATCACAACTCAAGCTTAAGCTTTCACGGAGGCAGGGTTGGTGATTTTTTTTATTTTTTCATGATTTTTTTGATTTGATTTTTTTGATTTTTTCAACTTTTTCGTCTTTTTGAAGTGTTATTTTTTATGTTGCAATTAGCCTACTAACAATAACAATAAATGAATCATAATGGATGGCTAAAAAGGGCACTTATTGCCTTCAATAATGGCCAACAGGCCATGGTAGTGTTTACTACTTAGGGAATTTTGGGTAAACAATTATTGATAAGTCTATTCATTAGCTTTGTAAAGTTTGTATGGAGCAAGGTAATGAGCTATATATTGACCATTTAACTGGCTTCAATATACAAAAACACTTCAGGAATGCAGATCTAATACCTCAATATAAATTAAAGACTGCCACTCAATATATTTAAATATATGAAAAAATCAAAAAAATCAAATAAATAAAAAAAAATCATGATTTTTTTATAAAAAAATCAAGTGATTTAATCACATGATTTAATCATTTTGATTTAATCATTGCCAACCCTGCACGGAGGTCAAATGGACAACTAGCAAATGTTGGTATAAACTAAAAATAATGTTCTCTAGTCATCAAACCTATTGTTCTTTTTAATTAAGTAATTATAAATGTTAATTATTGTTAATTTTATTTTACTAAGGAACATTCAGTGCTGTACTACCAGTATGCAGAGTTTGGAGGAGTGCAGCCCTTTGTCACCACAAATACCTTTACCATCAAAATTGCTTGACAAAAATACATGTAAAGAAATCTGTTGTCAAGATCTTCTGAAGACATAGATTTTGATGCTGACAAGCCACAAATTTATCAAATATTCACCCACTCTCAGCATACTGGTCTTGTCCCATTTGACTATGGAAAGTATAATCAGTATAAATACACTGCATTTGTTAATTGGCTGGCATGATTGAAATAAATTCATATCTTTGAGTGCATGGTCAATGGATAATTTTAAGGTGAAATTACACCCTTACTGCAGATTGCAGTGACCTAATGATGAATGTATTTACCTATATATAATTTATTTTGAATACCAATGCAGGCATTAATCAAAATTATTAAATATATTATCTCTGGTTATTATTGAAGAGTTCTTTATAATTTTCTCCAATGCATTCTTTTTCATTCTCCAACCATAAACTCTTGACCAACTAAAATTTGTTGGCAAAAATTATAATTACAAAAAAGAAAAAAATGTTCCTAAAATCCCTTGATTGATACCCAGTTCGTTTTGAACTAAGTGAATTTGCAAATTTTGTCTCATTAATTTTGATTTCCCAACAGAGATAAGCAACTGAAAAATGGAAAACAAAAAAATTTCACTTTCATTTACTAAAGTTATTGAAAAGAAATCTTTGCAACCATCTGCTCTTAAGCAGGCTCCTGAAAATGCAAGAATAAAAAAAGAAGTTATTGAAACTATTGAAGAAAACATAATAAAGAGGTATGTCAGTTTGCATTAAGTTATTTTCATCTAATTGAAGTAAGAAAAATAACTATATTTTAATTTTCTCAGTTTGAATTTTCAATAAATTTTTTCTCTGTTTTAGAATGCCTTGCTATCCACTTATTAGTAATAAATTTCCAGGTCCAGGTAATATTCTGATGTATTAAGTCCTGCTTAAATAACCCCATATTTATATATTTATGGTGCCAAGCTTCAAACAAACAAATTTTGAGGAATACTTATAAGATAAAATTTCCAAGAAATGCACTGTTTCCATGTCTCACCAGGTTATTTGTGTAATGCAACATGCCAAGTAAATCTAGACTAATGTGCTAGTATGGTAAAAATCATAACCAGTTGTTTGATATGATGAAATGTAGGAAATTACCATATAATAAGAGCATTGTTTGATTCATGTGTGGTACATTTTGCTTTATAGTAATGCTGCTGAAGGAGAAGAATTGGTCATCCCATTATTACAACGAGACTCAGAAGCTCCGTTGCTTCTAAAGTCAAAGTTCAACCAAAAGAAACGTCAAACAGAACCTACTGAAGAGACAAGTACTGACAAAAGCCCTTGTCGTGAACTTACATTGGACGAGCAGGCTGAAAAGGCTCTACTTGAAGGTCATTTGATTATATATATATGTAAGGATTCTCTTATAATCAAATATTTTGTATTTATATGTAATATATATTTTTTTAAAATGATTCTAATCAATTGAGGTGTGTCAAAACCAAACAATAGTTTGACTGAATATATATACAGAACTGTTATATACTGTACATGAATGATATATAAACTTCAATTCATATATTAGGTATATGATATATATCCTTCAAAAGATGTTCTGAATAAAATCTTTGCAACATATCACAAATCCACCAAGAAACTTGTTGACAAAGATCTATTCCTTGTGGCATTATTGACATTTTGGTTATGATTACTGTAAAACAGGGTGACTTGGACCATTGATGTTGCAACTTGGACCATTTCTAGCACATTTTCTTATTTATGGAAAAAAAGGCACTATTGTGCTCGTTATGTCCGTCCATCCGTGACTTCACGGATTGACTTACAGGAAAATGCGCGCTGTCACTCAATGCAGTGAGTACCTACTGATCTAATTTTTTGTGGTTGCTTTTTTGTGATGAAAATAGTCACAAGTAAATATATAAAAAATATATACCTATCTATTTCATTTGTAGATTATCTCATGGTACTTCAAAAGCTAGCAATGCAATTTTTCTCAGGTAGAAACTTTTTGAGTATAGGCTATTCTTTTCGTAAATGTCAAAGCTGTCCAAGTCCTCTTATCAATGGTCCAAGTCATCTCATTTTATGGTTCTCACATTAAATATATTCCTAAGTTTGGATGTAGGATAAACATGTCAGCTACAGCTGGTTCTGAAGCATGACATGAGCCATGTCAGTTATACTATATCAAGACATAAAAAACATTAAAGACATTCATGTTTATGTTGCTCTTGACAGCAGCTGTTCAGCTTAATCATGTCACTCACATCATCAGGACCATGACCACTGCATACCTACAGATTCATGCATGTTGTCATATTGTTAATATTGCTGTTCTTCAGCAATGTTATATAATAATTTTAATTTTTAAGCTTGTCATAATGCACATAAAAAATTCCTGAAATTTTCCTTGTTGTTTGTATGCTAAGAATGGCCATAGTCAGCATGCCAAGCTGTATCCTGCTGCCAAGCCTAAAGTGAAATATAACTGTTTATTCAAGTTTAATTTCAATAGTGACGTATCAATTGGAAATTTAAGACGACTAAAGTGTTGAGAAATTATCTAAACATATATTTTTCTAAATATTTTTGTATCATATATATATATATATTTTCAGGGTCGAACAATATTCTTCAGATGACATTAGTTGATCAAAATGCAGGTTCAAGGGAGTAATATCACTTTATTAACGACGTTTCGAATGTAACAACATTCATGTTATCACTAAAACCTTCCCATATTACAGAGGTGGCAAATTCTGCTCATCAATTATCAGAAAAACCTTCAAATTTTAGCATCCCCATTGATGATGTTGGACCATCAATATCAAACCTGGGATCTATACCTACTTTGGACGATTTTGATGAGGTATTAATAATAATAATAATAATAATAATACTCGTATATTATTAATGTTTCTCAAATTTTACGTTCATGAGCCATCACAAGATAAAACGATAATACAGTTTTTGGTAATGTTACGGTATCTTGATCACAAGATTGTTATCTTGTATATTAAATATTTTGTGTGAACACAGATAGGAGTTGAACAGTTTGGCGCTGCTCTGCTACGAGGCATGGGCTGGACTAAAGGTCAAGGAGTGGGCAACTCCCGGAACAGGAAGTGAGTTTCACATCATGTAATACAATTGAACAATTTGAGTTAATCAGTGCTCTATCATTAATTTACTTTACCATAAGTTTACAAAATACTTGTAAATGTTAATTACAGGTTTTACTGGTGAAAAATTATAGCAATATTATACAACTTTTGACTTACATAATAAATATTTCCAGAGTGGTGTCCATCATTGAGGCATCTAATAAGACTCTTGGTTCCTCGGCAACACGTAAGACGGTTCCTGCAAGTCAAGATCCTCATGAACAAGAAGAAACCTTATCACTTAAAAAAGGTTCCTATGTACTCCTTAGTGGTGGAAGACATGAGGGCAACTATGGTATGGTGAGTTTGGCCTATAGATGGTTAGATAGAGAATTGTCTTCTCTTCGTTTTTGCAAATAACCTTTGCACAAGTGTAATGTTTAGGGATCATATTATTCTCTCTTATTTTTAACTTGCAGTGCCAACCTTGCCAACATCTTGCTATTTCCTGCTCATCAGCTGCGTTAATTTAAAGAGCCTTAAAATATTTATTGTCCCTAGGTAAAAATAATATTTTCTGGTGCACGTTATGACTATCATGAATACCATCGAGTTCTTTTGTCAAAAATTCAAATTTCTTCCTTGGCAGAATCTGAATTAAAACTCAATGCTTACCTATATTAGCCTGTGGATTTAAGATCCTTAGTTTGTACTAAGAAAATTTGCTCTTGTATGCATAGCAGCCAAAGTATATGATTGATAAGTAGCCAATTTCTTGTCTGTAAATGGTTGGCTTAGCTTGGAAAGCCATCGCTGATTGGCTGACAGCATTGTGAACTCGTAACTATTTTTGAAATTATGGCCCCATGTCAATGGTGTTGAAGAGCTCTATGCACATGCTGGTGAGAAAGTCTGAATTATAAACTAACATTTATATTAGCCTGTGGATTTTATACCCTGGACTCAGTAGGTAGTGATGGTATTCCAGGTGGAGAGTGTTGAAGAGACCCACGTGCTGGTGAAGAAGGCGGTGGGCGGAGCTGTGGTCATGGAGATCGAGGGCAACCTCACTCCCGTCACGAAGACTCAGTATGCAGACTCAAGTAGAGTCATCAACAAGGAGATGTTCGACAAGTTCAAGGTACTGTATTAAATGCTTATTGTATCTGCGCTCTAGAATGTTAGAACTGACGATGGAGTTGGACTCCAAAGCGATTTCTGAGTGTATGCAGACTCAAATAGAGTCATCGACAAAAAATGTTCGATAAGTTCAAGGTACTGTATTAAATGCTTATTGTATCTGTAGTCTAGAATTTTAGAACTGACAATGGAGCTGTACTCCAAAGCGTTTTCTGAGTATATGCAGACTCAAGTAGGTAGAGTCATCAACAAGGAAATGTTTGACAAGTTCAAGGTACTGTATTGAATGCTTATTGTATCTGTAGTCTAGAAATTTAGAACTGACAATGGAGTTGGATTCCAAAGCGTTTTCTGAGTATGTATATGCAGACTCAAGTAGAGTAATCAACAAGGAAATGTTTGACTAGTTCAAGGTACTGTATTAAATACTTATTGTATCTGTAGTCTAGAATTTTAGAACTGTCAATGGAGCTGGACTCAAAAGCGTATTCTATTAAGAGATGGTGAATCCTTTTGTGGCGTCGCCTTTGCTTTTAAATTTTAAGTTCGGGTTGCTGTCATCGACCATAGCATTATTCATGAATATTTTTTTTATTCAATATTTTTCTGATCAACAAGATTTTAAGTAATTCCTATAAGATTTAGTACGATTCACATGAATTAAATGGTGAACTTCAGATTCAAAGTTATTGGCAGTTTTCCAAGTTATATCTTGCTTTTTCATTTAATAACAAATCGCTTAAACTTTATTTTTTTCCAGGATGCAGAAGCAAACAAGAAGAAGAAACGATCTGATAAAACGGACGATAAAAACTTGGATAAGGACGGTCGAGATGTCACTGCCAAAGAGAACAAGCAAATGTATGAAAGAGATGGACTGAACAACAACAGGCCAGAACAAAGTCAACTAGACACGCAAAATGAGACGTATTCAATTGGTTCTCAGTCTGATGAGAATAAGTTGAAACATCCAAGAAAAGTCAAACAAGAAATAACAGATGATTACAATGCTAGTGAGAAAACAAAAAGTTTGAGAACACTGACGTCTGGAATGCCTGTAGGAGGAAACCATGACGATGACGATAAATCTAGTGATAATTATTCTGAGAGAGATCAAAGGCATCACAAATTGCAAGATGCTGTACGAAATAGAAAATCAGGTAAATACCTTGATGATCCCCCTGAATATAAACTTGATAGAAGGAAAGAGCACTCAATGAATAGCGATAAATATAGCAGAGAGGAAGGAGTCTCAAGAAAACAATATGATTATGATATCTCCGATGAAGATAAACCAAGAAAGAAAAAATCCAGAGACAGCAGAAGAAGAGTAGACGAATTTCAGCACGAGGTTCGCCATCATAAAGAAAGAATATCGAAGAGAGAAGATAAATCCAGTAAAGATTATCTGTTATCTAAATATGGTGATGCCTCAACAAATGGAAATCGAGCTTATGAATCTGATGACAGAGCAGCGCGCGGCACCATCAGTTCTGCCCCGTGGGTGCGAGAAGGGCTAACTGTTAGAATAACCAGCGAGCAATTTAAGGCAGGAAAATATTTCAAAGAAAAGGTGAGTTCTCTCATGAAATTCATGTATGTGTGTAATATTAGTCCAATAACCAAAGGCGGGTTTACCTCGTATAGATCATGTATGTGCGATATTGGTCCGATAACTATGAGCATTAATTCGCATTCTAATCATTATTTGGTTTAAAATACATTAGCAATTGATTTGGCAGCAAAATAATTTCCTTGAACGTACGACATTAAAGCTTGAATGTTCATTAAGGAAATGTAATTAGTTCCGATACCTTAAAAAATATAACTCAGTACTCTCACTGCAGTGAGTGACAGAGAGCGCATTTTCTCGCCGACGAAAACGTAGTCACGGACGGACAGACAGACGGACGGACATGACAAGCACAATAGCGCTCTTTAGCGCATTTTCTCATTTATGGAAAAATGCACTATTGTGCTCGCCATCTCCGTCTGTCTGTCTATCTGTCTGTCCGTCCGTGACCTCAAGTTTTAGTCGACGAGAAAATGCGCTCTCTGTCACTCACTGCAGTGAGTACTGAGTTATATTTTTTCCATGAATTAGAAATGCGCTAAAAAGTGAAGATGAACTCGTTTGCCCAGGTGGTGGTTGAGAACGTGATGACAGCCGTGCAGTGCGAGTGTCGCACCAGCAGCGGCAGGCTCCTCAGCGGCGTGCCCCTTGCGGTGCTCGAGACTGTCATCCCTAAGCAGCATCCCCGCGTCGTTATGGTGGTCAAGGGCAGGCATGCTGGCATGGTGAGTCTTTAGGATGTGTTGGGTAGGCATGGTGAGTCCTTAGGATGTATTTTTAGTAGGCATGGTGAGTCTTTAGTATGTGTTTGTTAGGCGTAGTGAGCCCTTAGTATGTGTTAGGTAGGCGTGGTGAGTCCTTAGGATGTGTTAGGTAGGCGTGGTGATTGGTGAGGCCTTGTTATGTGTTTGATTCAGCACGGTAAGTCCTTTAGGTATCCCTAGCATGTGTTTCGGAAGTAGCAGTCCCTGGCAACGCCTCCAGTGAAATTGTGAAACAGTTTGACTTCAGACTGGCGTCCTGTGGTGCACATACAGGATCGATGTTATTTCACTAGTGGTCATGTTTTGAGATTACTGCGGTAAATCTAGTTTACTCCTTAATTTTAGTTGCTTTGCTCCTCCTTTACTCGCCTGTCATTTCATGTTTGTCTAGATTTATTATTAGATGCGGGATTAATTTCAATTTATAGATTGATGATGAATAGCATGCATTTGTTTCTTTGTCTCGATACTTTTCTCCGTTCGTTCTGCCTGAATAATGTTAGTAGTAGAGCATAACATCAATTTAATCACATTATTATTGGCACAAAACATTAATTTATTAACAATGTTCATCAGCTGGGCCGCGTATTGGAGCAGCACAAGAGCAGCCAGGAAGCGTCCATCCAGCTACTCGAGGACAAGTCAATTATTCTCAAGCTGCATTACGAACAGATCTGTCAGTACAATCAGTGAACAACCCGCGTCAAGTTCATTAGCTTTCTTTGTATGATCGAAATATTATCATTAGTCAAAATTTGTCAGTGCAATCAGCATCAAATTTATTAGGTTACCTTGTACAATAAACACCAAAATGGAGTGTCTCAATTTTCACTGCAGTCAGTGACCATGTATCGCAAAGTGTTTCAATCTAAATTTAATGCTCGTCATCTTAATTGACATAAATTGAACGATATAAATCTTGTAGAGTAAGTGGCAATCAAAAATGTTACCACTAGTACTTTTTTTATCTGTTTATACATTTTCAAGAATATTTTTCTTGAAGTGAAGATCAGTACGCAGAGCTAAAAATTAAGATGAAAGTTTTTTAATGCGCGACCATTCATGTCAGTAAACACGAGATTTCAAATACACGTGTTAATTTTTGGATTTTCTCCTTTTCATCCTGCCGATGAGATCAGTTTGTGTATGTATTGTATTGTATTGCCAGCTCTATTTATGTATTATTATTGTATTGAAGTTATTTCGCGACGTTCATTAAATGGCATCGTTATTTATATCATCTTATGGTTTGGAAAAGGATTATTGGATCAAATTCTTTGGGTTTCGATAACAGTTCGGTTAATATGAACCTGACATAATAATTATGAAGCGTCGGTGAAACCAATTAAGGAGTGGTGACCTAGTGATGGCACTGTATGATTATTAGTTCTCTTTTTGGTAAATTTGTATATAGGAAAGTTGGCGTTGGTGTTGGAGATTAGGCCAAGTCTTGCATGTCGATGATTATTGCAATGCTCGTAACTTGCTTAGAGAAAGTCTTAAAATTCATCTCTTTGATGCTGTAAAGCTGCTCTTGATTGATGCCATTAAACTACTAGTATTTGGAAAAAACGGTACGTAGAAGTTTCCAAACGAGCGTTATCACTGTATTGCAACCGAATTCGGCTGTTACTGTATTGAAAACCTTTACCACATCACAACAGCAATTCTACTTAGTTACTTTCAATGATCCTTCAGATTGAATGAATATAAAAAAATTAATAGAGTTGAGCAGCATTTGAATAAAGATGAAGATGGCAATTTCTAACTCGATCGGCATAAAGGAAAACCCCCAATCTGTTCAGCAATAAGATATCACTGAACTGCCCAAGGTGATAAGACTTAACTACCTCAACTGCTACTAATATCATGAGTCTGATTAAATTTTTATTTAAATCAAGGATTTGTAAACTAAGACAATTCACCATGTCTTTATTGAAACGTTCCGTGGCATTCAAAGCTTATTTTTTTTAAAGTTTTTATGCGACCTAAAATGCAGTGATCTAGCAAGCTATCAAAACTCTTCCAGTTTATGTGCTACGTATTTGGAAGTATATTCTAGCTCAAAATTAACAATATTTTCCTTTGAAAATATAAATACTCAGTGAGATGGGCAGAGAGGCCAAGTGGTTAAAGTTCAGGACCAATATTGAAGCAGAGAGGTGCGGGTTCAATCCCAGCTCTGTGCGCCAGTTTCTGGTCAGAATCTGCAAGGAGGCCGGGCGGTTAAGCAAAGAAAATTTGAATCAGTGAGTTGCGAGTTCAAGCCCGCAACAAGCTGGGATGTTCTGCAGTGTTAAGAATCGGCGACAGGCCTACGGCCTAATAAACGCTGAAATCGCTACGGTTAATGAGACTTTGGCGCAGGCGAAGGTTTTCCACCAAAAGGCCACTTCGTCTCCAAATAATGAATAGTGCGGAGGTACTTCTATGAATAATATTATCAGTTTGTGATCATCGAAGAAAACTTTTCTTTTTGTTTCGGTCTGCACTGGGACTTTGGTTTCGGATGGTTACGAGTTTTCGATTAAATTTGAATTGTCACTGCTATTCGGCGAGCCTTTGATTTCAATTGGGAGTTCGGATTAAGTCATGTTGATGATGTTTCTGGGATTTCGGATTCGACCTGAGCCGGGGGTGTGGTTTCAGTCTAAAGCAGTCATCTGGTTTCAGTCTGAACAGGTTTTCGGTTTCGGACTAAGCTAGTAAAGCTACTAAGCTCCGACTACGACTTCAATTGAGACTTCACGTCCAGTCTAAATTATTTTCTACGTATTTTGTATCCATTGCAGGAAGGACAGCAAATGAACCCTTAGGGGAACTCGGCGTCTGTGCATTATATCTGAAAATTTAGTCATTTTAATGAACATTTGCATTTCTTCATCCAAGATCGGAACTTGATAATTTGTTCCTACAAAAAATTCAATAGACGTTAATTGGACGAGCACCTACGTACCACACACAAGAACTTCTTGAACGGTAAAATTTCAACAAACTTTGAATATTAATGTTCATAAAGTCTGTGACTTTAACCTTTTTTTAGAAATATCAATGGATTATATTTTTATACTCAGCTGATCGGTACGCTAGGATTTTCTTGATCAGCCTTCTTTCTATGATTTTTTTACCANTAAAGAGACGTCGTAAATTACTCACCTGTCAGTCCACGACGGGTGATGCGGTGAAGAGGAACTCAATGAGGAAAGAGTAATGATAGATGGCCAGTGGTCGGCTGAGGCAAATTAGTTGTAGCCGATTGCAGACCATTTATCACCATTACTCGGCCACCTGAAATCCGCCCGTTGCCACATAATGCGTTAGCTGGCTGGGATTCCGTATTGCGAAGACTACAAGCGCGAGAGTAACAACTGCCCGAGTTAAGGTTTAGCATAGTTGAACTATATTATATTAATAATTCAACCATGAGATTTGGAGCGAAGATCTTACAAAGTGGTCACGAATAACTCGTTCTCAGACTTCGCTGCACTTTGACTACGAGCCTTAATGCGGATAGATATGCCTTGTTTGCTGGTCCACCGTCCATGAGATGATGAGAAAAAAATTTCTGTCGTTTGCAGAAGAAGTTGAAAATGAATATGGGTAGATGCTACGCGTAATATTTGGGTTGCTGAGGTCGGCAATAAGCCGCATTGATTTTTAACGAAAACTAGGAACCCACATTTGCGTGTCAACCTGACTCATTCATTTTTGTCAGTGTCAGGAATGGATTTCCCGGTAAATTATTTAGTGCCAAACTTGGTAAACTAAACAAACTGCTTACCATTTGGTGTTTTATGAATATTTAATAAAAAATTTTAAATTATGAATAAAAGTGAGAAGGAACAATCGCTGTACAAGTAAAATTATGAATAAAGTTGATGTTCCCTCGCTGTCATTTCTTCATAATGAGTTTGGTGCAAATTTCAGAAAAGATTCATAATGTTTTGCTTATTCTCATCCACATATTATATCATTCTACTCTCCACATTCCAATTTCCATCCAATATAAATAATTTTATATAAAAAATAGATGACCGGAGTTGGGGCGTTTGATCATTAGGAGTAGCGCTAAAAAGTTAAAAGTAATCAATTAAAACATAAACAAATCACCTTATGTTATATATTATAACAAACGTTACATATTATAATGATCATTAATTATAATGACTAAATTATGATCAATTATAATGATCAAAGTATGAAACTTTCACAAACAAACTCAACTCAGAAGCCCCTTGAGCTCATTACTCCATCGAAATCATAATCAAATGAATAATATTGAACAGCCTTTCTACCATCACTGACCAAACAAAGGGTTTGTGCTTATCAGATATTTTTATCTCGAGCAACGCAAGATAGCGCAGCCATCTTGATAAGAGATCATTATACAGAAATGTAGGAGTCAGTTTCATGCCAAACAACGCTGGAAGTGGTGGTATGAGTTTTTCATGTGGCATGAAATAGACCTGCATTGGCGTTAGTTTATAGCGCATTTTCTCATTTGTGGAAAAAATGCACTATTGTGCTCGCCATGTCCGTCTGTCTGTCCGTCTGTCCGTCCGTTTGTCCGTCCGTCCGTGACTTCACGTTTTCGTCGACGAGAAAATGCGCTCTCTGTCACTCACTGCAGTGAGTACTGAGTTAGATTTTTTTTTGTATTGTGAACGTGACCAGTAACGGCATAAGGTTTTTTAGCATGAACTCGAACAGTACCTAGGGCATGAGTTTACACTGAGGCATGACTATAAACTCATGCCCCGGCGTGAGGCGTGATTTATTTCTTTTCATAAACCATCTGTATTAAAAAGCGGATCAACGGACTAAACTGTAAAGGATTACTGCCACGCGATCTCACGCGGGTTAGCTGATACAAAATCAACAAAATCAGCAAAAAACGTTTCAGCTCCGGTGTACTTAACAATAACAATTTTTGCTTATTTTTCAACAGCACATCACTTCACTTACGTTCATTTTCCACAGCACCTCATTATTTGCTTATTTTCCAAAACCAATAAATTATTGCTGGTTTTTAAACTATACTATTTTCAGACAGTAAATCACTATTTTCTCATTCTCTACAACACTTAACTTCCCACAGTTGACAATTTTTTGATTATTTTTTCTCAGTTCATCACTTTTTGCTTATTTTACCGCAGCACATCACTTGTATTATTTTTCAGAGGACATCACAGTTTGCTTAGTTTTTAAAGCAAATAACATTTTGCTTGTTATTTTTGGGTAACATATTTAATTACTCCTATAGGGTAACATGGGGCAGCGAGCCCACTGCGGGTCACGGGCCCATAGCGGGTTTCTCGCTAAGTATGGCAGATATTGGTCCGTGTTCTCTACCGCCGGTCGACAGTTTCACTGGGATGAAGTGTACGGATTTACGTTTTACTAAGAGTTTGCGTTGATAAGTTACTCGCAAATAACTGTTTTAAACCAAATAAAAGTTTTTTTGCTGCTAAATAAAACTGTTTTCGATTACTGTATATGAAGCTTTTGAAATTACTGTGAACTACATTTTGAAAGTATTATTTATAGGGACAATTTTGAGTTCAAGTTTAGACTAGGTATAAGTTTTTAAAATAAAATGTTGACACGATATAAATTGAAATGATACCTAGTGGGCAACGGGCCCACGGGTGTCACGGGGCAAAGCGCCCATGGTGAAGTCTTGTGTTATACATCATTAGATTTGTCTTAATGACCTTTTCAAAACTATGACTAGCTTTTTGAATTACAAATTATATACACTTCATTTTGTATGATTTTTTTTGCTGCCTCAAGGCAGCAGGTTCTCGTTTCTAGTTATGCGTATTCATGACCGTTTATCGAGTTATTGACTCTTGCCTTGCCAAAAGTTGATTTCAGCCAACACCAATGAGCCAAAAGTTAATGAGTTTTTATGGTGTTAATTGGCTGAAATCACGATTAATTAGGAATTCCCTGCACAGTATATTTGGATTATAGACGAAAGTGAAATGAAGTTTTTTTCTGATTGAATAAATATTTTTTCTCTTAAGGATACATTTTTTCATGTCAAGGATGAATTTTTTAAACCAAGAATATGCATTTTTCAAGTGAAGGTTATGATTTTTTAA